AACAACCACAAGGTTGACACCTTCAAAACGGAGGTTCCTTGGCTGAATTCCAACTGGCGATCCTTGAAGCCATGTATCGTGGGTGCAGGATGGTTTGGGATGGTTTGTAGTACTTATACAGAGGTTTGATGTAGTTTCTTGCTTTCAGAGACGGGAACGAGAAAATGCATGATTGGTGAGACGGAAATTATCACAACTCAACAGCCATCATAATATATTGTGTCAATCCATCCTGAAATAGATTAGGCTTCCTGAAACGATGCTCATTCCTGATATAATGTAGGCCTGCAGCTTACCTTCGGCTCGTGATTGACACTCAGACTCAACTTTGCCTGGGTTCTACCATTCCATTGAGATTGGCTCAAAGAGGGCAAAGCTGGGGTGAGAGTATGATTGCCAGGGGCCCACCCATGGGGCGGGGAAAGGGGAAAGGAGGAACAGGGAAGTAGGGAGTTGAGGAAAGGCAGTCTTGGATGGTTGTGGTGGTGGTGGTTGCGTAGGTCGTGGGGGTGGGGGGGCAGGCACAGTGGGGGCGATGGTGGGTGGTCGTCGGTGGCGGGGTGGCTGTCGCTCTTGTGGTTGTAGTTGCAGCCGTTGCGGTGGTAGTTGTTGTTGTGAGCGTGGTGGTGGTTGTGTTTGTTGGTGGTTGCCGTTGGTGTTGTGGTGGTTGCCGTTGTCGTTGCTGTTGCCGTTGTTGCCGTGGTTGCGGTTGCGGTTGCGGTTGTTTCTGTTTTTGTTTCTTATTTTTGTTGTTGTTACGAAGTTGGCCTGGTGGACTGGTCGTCGCCCGGACGTGGGAATCGAGAGCAACGAAATGCACATATTGCGTTGCTATCCGAGCAGCATGTCACGCACCACCAACTCCTCTGGACATTCTTAACCGAGGTGGGGTGGGGCCCCTGGGCAGAATTGTAGTATTGCAACGGTGTGCAGTTTCTGGAAGAGGCAAGTCCCAGCTTTGATGAAACACGAAACCAGCGCCGCACCAGGCCATGGGGAAGATGTCAAAAGTCACCACCCGCCGGCTCTCCTACAGCAAGAGGTGGGGAGCCAATCTCTGTAGCACTTACCACAAAAATAAGGTGCTTTCTTAGCATAAAGATTGTTCACAATTTGTTATGGAAATTCTTCCTTTGGAGATTCAGCCTTTCGGCAGTTGGTGAATCTTTGCAGATCCTCAGGTCACCCCCAACGCTAGACTTGGCATGCCTTTAGCACTGATCGAACTCCGTCCGAGCACTGAGGTGGTTTGAAAAGACTCGGAATATGTTTAATCAGGAACTTATGAAATGCCACGAGGATACCCCAGTGTTCTGGCTTGCCTAGCAATCGATTTCAAGCTGATTCCCGAATGCAAACCCTGAAGTTCTCAATAGCAACGTGCCATGGCTGTTTGTACAGTATGCAGTTGAACATTTGAAAAGGGATAAAGTTCAGAGGATGTTGGGTTGGTTGTGTGTGTAGACTTTTTGAGTTCATCCAGTTGCATAGTTGTTTTAGTTGTTTTGTAGCTTGTGTTTAGATGTGGAAAAAACAAAACAAGTCCAAACCAATTGGTATTTATACTTTGTGGCGCTTGCAGAAGATAGATGGGCGCTGCTGGCTGAACTGGGAAAGATATTGCGAGCCTTACCCAAAAATGCCAATGCACGAGATTGCCATGAGCATCTGAACCGGGTTGACCCGCGGATATTCCAGTGAATATTGAGACTTCGGGGTGACTCTACGTTGAGGAACAGCTGTTGGCGATTTGCACAGTGAGGTTGTGGTAATTGATTTGTGCAATGCTTGCTTGAGAGATGAAAGAACACCTGTTTGTTTTGGTATGAGTGCACATTTGACTGTGCTGATGTATTTTGCCTCGAGCCGGGCCATGTACCCATCAAGGGGTTGTGACCGCTGGCTGGCCGGATGTGGGGAGTTGCATCTGACTGTTTCCGTTAACTCAGTCTGTGGGCTAGTTGCGCCAGTTGCACCGACATAAGTAGGTTTAGATCGTCCCACGTCCCACAACTATTTTGATAAATGAAAGAGAAGGTCTATACTCTATACATCTCTATATGCATCTCTATACCCTCACCTCCCTTTTTCCAGCTCTTTTCTTGTTTTTCTACGTTCCATGCTCGGGCCGTACAACATCCAGCCGCTGCGAGCGCGTTTTGCGGCTCAGTGAAGAGCCAGGTGTGAAGAGCCGCCCAGTGGTGGCCTCGCATCATCCCTCATCCCCTCCATCTTCAGGCCGGACATGAATTTTCACAGAAGGAGGTCAGTTCATGCAGGTCAAGGACGGGAAAGGTCCAGGGGGTTGTTGTTTTGAGAGGATATGCCTTTAGATCATTGTTGGTCACCTTTGATCCGGAAAGCATTGCATGTTCTTGACAAAGTCCTCTGTTGAATTTGGAATATCAACGAGTTGGTTCAGGGTGTTTACTCAGGTGTCCACACCTGTCGGGCATGTTTTTGTGCAGCTGCACAAAAACGTGCCGAATTCACGTGTGCCTTTCCATTGGGTGACGAAAGACTTCCAATTCAACTCAACCCCTTTGTCCAGGAAGAGCGCAACCCTGAACAGCCTGGCGCCCGGAGCGAGCTGGAGCAGAATGACACCCACACTCACGACGAGTCGTGGAGAAAGGTCGAAATGAAATTAGGATTTGGTTTGCGCTTGTTTGCACCTTGTTCTTGCGACTTGGGAGGCTTGCCAGCCACTCTTTGTCTCTCCTTTACTAAGGCTAGATCAGCGATTCAGAAGCAGAAGTGGCAGAATCTGCTGGATGGCAAGCTGCTAGATGGCAAGTGCCAGAGGAGAGGTTCCGACTTGTTTGGCTGCATATGCAGCCAGGGCAATGCCCGACAAAGCATCCAAGCTGCGATATGCATCCCATTTTTGGACGATCGATCCCAGCGCGTGCGAAGAAAAGAGGCAGGATAGTACGGCTCATTTGATCAGTCTTAAAGGAGGACAGGAGTGCTAACGATGTTCAATTGTTTTTATCACGTAGCAACTCACCAGTGCCTCACGAAATTGACACCTCCAAAGTCTCAGAGGTAACGGAAAAGTACTACCATTCCTTTCTCTTTGATTGAGAAGGTTTGTAACATGCCTTTAATTATCTTATTTGGCATGTGCTAACTATCGATGTTTAACACACGGAGTTAGAGATTTGTAATGAATCAACATGCTCCTCACATGTGCCGGGATCTGGAGATGACTTGTTTGCATGAGTTTGGACAGCGCCACACCTGGCCGGGCATGCGAAAAAACGTGACCGGTGACCATTGTGGCCAGGCTCCAGGTCAAAGCGATTGAGTGGTTTTGTGATGTGTTTGTGCTGTTTGCCACTTGCTTGCTATTTTTGAGGTTGCGCTTGTTCTCCTGGTTGGGATTGGTCATGACAAAATCGTGAATCAGCCTGTAGTTGGTTTGAGATTGGTATTGCAGACTTTCTTGACTTCCTGATCACGTTCCTCGGACAGATCCAAGTAACCCGAGCTCACATGGCCTTGCTGTCCCTTGAAGTCGTAGGGTGGGGATGCTTCTTTGTCAGTAAACGAGTTATTTGTTTTGCATATTGCAACTCTTGTCCTGAAGGGAGTCTTTCTTGGTGTGTCTCGGTCCTTCAACTCATACTTTCAGGTCACCTCATGTTCTCATATTTTATCATTGTTTTGTGTTTGGAGTATTCTGTTTGTTTAGGTGTGGATTTAACACAAACGGCCCTGGGTCAAAGGAAGTTCTGGGCCGTGCCTTGCAGAAATGGATCACCAGATGTTCTTTGGTTCGACCTGGCAAACTTGTTGTCTCAATCTTGTCTCACCGTGTATTATCCAACTTTGCATTCTTGTTCATATGCATCGATACTACCAATCAATTCCCCTGACCCCCCGACTGACCCCCCGCCGCTCCCTTGGACTTGAACCTGGAGCGCTCCGAGCTAGCGGAGCTAGCTGACTTGCTTGCCGAATCGGCTGAGAAGTGAGCTGAGCAAAACCAGGACGACCTTAAATCCCTCTCGCAAGGCGTTTGCAATCCTAGACTTGTCAGGTGTATTGCTCAGACCACATCGTTTGCCGTCGGCATCTTCTCGACATGTCAAAGTTTTGCTCTCTGTCGGCATTGGCCGTGGAGAAATCGAGCTCGCAGATCGTGTTTGGTTTGAGGCTTCAAAGGGGATTTGTGAGTGCATGGTCGTAACTAGCATGTGACTGGATGTGACAACTGTTTATGATCTCGAACCGCTACGTTCTTTTGAGAGGGTAAATTGCTAGGAACAAGTGCATCGCTACTAGAAACAAGGGCATTACTACTAGTAACAAGAAGCTACTAGAAGCGATGCCCTTGTTACTAGTAGCTTCTTGCTACTACTAGTGCCAGTAGTCAACGGCTTTGTTCTTGAGATTCTCAGCGCAGTGTGGCAAGGGCAATTGCGTAGCCATTGACCGCTCCTGTGAGGGACAGGATCCTGCCTATGTGCCCTGGAATTTATGGCGTACAATATCACTTTGGTAGATAGGTAGGGCCTGTCCTGTCCCATTAACAGTCGGTAAACGATGCTGTACTAACGAAAAAGGTCCGCTGTTGTTGCTGGAAATGGGATAGACCCAATATCTAGGGCATAATTATATATATATACATGTTGAACACAAAGAAAAGCTGGCAATATGCCTAGATTTGCAAACGACTGAAAGAAAGTGGTCATCATGTTTGGTGGTGAAGTTCATCACCGGTCCTAGCAGGCCCGATGGGACCCTGGAGAAACGCAGTTCTTGGCTTTGCACCAAGCCAGGTCCTTCAAGCATGGCCAATGGCCAATTCTACGTATGTACAGTATATATCCCCAAAGCATCTATAGCCCATCCCAAACATCGGGAACACCCTTCGCGGCAGAGTGTATATCGGCCACTGCAAGACTGCGCAAAGGACTTGGCATAATCCAAGGCACCTTTTCTAAGAAACCCAAACACCTCAGTCCAGGAAACACCTCTGAGTGATTTGCCAGGATTGGCAGCGTCTTTGTCTCCCTTAGCCCGAAGTTTGGTTGGTGCATTGCTGGAGGTGAGCCGGGGGGAAGCTGCAAAGTCGGGTGCTGGCGAGTTTGGCTTTAAGTCAGCTCTCTTGCTGAGAATTTCCTCGTTGTTGATATGAGTTACTATGAATGTTTTTTCTATATATCGCTCTCACTCTCTCACTCTCTCTCCCTCTCTATACACCCAAGGTTTTCCTGTCCCAATCATGGCCCCAAATCTCTAAGATTAATGAGCTAGGATATTATTCAAGGCGACTGGATGGGCAACAGCAGCTCTGTTGGAAAACTGTTTGCTTTGGGACATATCCATTCCACCAAAAACTCATGGATTTTTAATACCGGTCCAGTCCTGCTAGTCTTGGCAAGTCTGTTTTGGAAAGTCAAGGCATCCCAAGCTTGGAGGAAAGCTACAGTACAGCCAGAAACTGTGGTTGAATTGATTTGCCTTCACAGGATAAAGAACCGTCATCAAAGCCTTTGAATGATCTTAAAAAGCGGCCACTGAAAGCACGCGAGGTGTTTGTATTGCAAAACAGAGACTCATGTGGTTATAGGCAATAATTGGTAGTTCCAAGCACCCTAGAAGGTATGTGTCTTGCATCACGTGTGCTTTTGTTGTCGTGGCCGGGGTCCAGAGCCCTGTGAATGTCTTTAAAATTCAGCAAACATCGATCAGCAAACAGATAGAAATCCCTCAAGAGGGTTCGTCAATGCTCTTCATGTTTTTTGAAGCTTGAAGCAAACCTCCAAGAGAAGTGGCCAATACACGCATTCTTGAGGCAGAAGTGGCCAATCGGCTCTCGGTCTCTGCCTCGGCGCAGCACAGCTTCTTTGAGGCTGGAAGCACCCGGATCTGACTGCCGCAGGTCGTCGCTAAAGAAGAACACAGGGAACATAACAGCTGGCTGTTGGTAGCTGGTCATTAGGTCGATCTAGCCATGGCCACAAGAACGGCAAAACTTCTTTCTTTCTGCGATTTGAAGGACCGACCCCTCCTGACACCCTTACGAAGGAGTACCCAAGAGGGTTTCACATTTTGTGGAGTTTCATCGGAATCACCTAGGAAAGGATGCCCTTCCATGTGGAAGAGAAAGGGCCTCAATACTGCAGCACATGCATGTTTGTTTGAACCGGGGTCACTGTACTGAACTGTATATTCTAGAGGGCAAGTCAATTTCATGTTGGGTTTCCAAGTTTGTTTAATGATTGAATGTTTTTGTCATGATATTACAGACAACAAGTTTGTGCCTCATTAATCGAGCAGAGGGCCTGGTTCGGGCACCACCCTTTTTGGGGGCGGATGGATTGTCATTGAGATGTTGTCAGATGTCATGGGCTCTTGATCTTGTTTTCAGAGGTGAGTCTGATCAGGCTTAAAGTAGACAACCACATTCAGAAGACAACGACCTCAAATCTTTTACTCAGGGAATCAGGAAAGAGTGTTTGTCAGGGAATTGGAAGACTGGCTTCGCCAGAAAACCAAACATCAGATCCTGGCATAGGTGCGAGTCCAAAGGTTCACATTTGTTCACATTATCTTCGATATATATATATATATAATTGAAGGGCTGAACTGTTCCACAGCAACATAGCTCTCATGTGCTCTAATTGTTACCTCCAAGTCAAAGGGTAGGATGATGCGGGGTGTAGCCCAGATCAAACGCACCCTGCTTTTGGTGAAGCTGAAGTGAAGCAGTTCAACCCAACTAGGACCACCATCGAAACTCTGTGCATGTTGTGCTGCTTGTCAACGCCCGTTCTTGCAGGGACTGGACGTCTTCACATTGCACAAGAGGCTCTGGGAAAGTATGGATGATCACACGGGAAAGTGCAACCCAAAGAATGGGTGAGGGGAGATGAAGTTCCTTGCTATTGAAATATACTGCTGAAAGAATCTAAGCGAGAGGGTGAAGATAAGGTTCTCTTCAGACTTCAGGCAGTCCTGCCCTGTCCATGCAGGTCTCACAACTCGCAATTTCTTGGCATCGCTTATCACATATCTCAATGCCCAAGTCTTTACCTGACGAAAAGATTATGTAATGATGGATTGAGTGCAGTTGGATTGATACAAAAGAGCAGTCAGCTAACACTCCACACCCAGTGAAATCGGATGAGTTCAGAGGTTTTCCGATGCTGGAGTGTTCGCCTAATGTAAGACAATATTGCAGCGGGTCTTGTTCATTTTGGCGATCTCGTAAATCTATTGGGGAAACACAATGGATTTGGGATGATTGAAGGAAATCCAGCTATCAACAATCGGGCTATTTGGTACACCATAAATGGTGGCCGTCAGGTATGGGTTCAGGATGAATGGACTCCTCAGTTGATAGCACCTGGGGCTTCTTCAACCCTAAATTTAAAGTATCCTAGAACCCCTCTGTTGTGATTGAAGCGTTCTTCTGAACCTGGTTGACACCGAAACAATTTGTCTCGTCTCCATTTGCTCATTGAAATTATAGTGTACAGTATACAATGTATAATGATACACATTGTATATATATAATCATGTATATATATAACACATGTATAATACATCATTTGCACAGTCATGTCAGGCTTCTTTCGGTTGATATGTCCTAGTCCAGGGCCTTTCCCAGCCTCGAGGCCCCGCGGCCCCGAGTTGCCGGAGATCGAGAAGCGACCCACGGAGAGAGAACGAGCGACGTTGAAGCGACGAGCGACGTGACGGTCGCGACATCGGGCATCGATGTTTTTCGCACAAAAAGACATGAGCAAAGAAGCTACTAGGGGCTCCTGGCATCGCTAGTAGGAGCAAGGACGCTACTAGGAGCTCCTGGTCGTACTGCTAGAAACAAGAAGCTAGGCACAACAAGGTTTGATCGAACACACTCGTCATATTTTTGGGATAGGCGGATAGCACAGTGGGACAAGAATTTTTGCTCGTGCTGCTTGACATGTTTCATGTTCTCAGAAGTGATTGTCACAGGTGTAACTCCTGTCACTTTCAGCTTTCTTTGGAACCTTGGAGCCATTTTATATCAAGTACTCCACATATGATTGGCGAGTTGTTGAATTTGTGGGAGTTGAATTTTGTTGGATCGACATGATCCAACGATGGATCGACACCTCGGTCTTCCGACTCGTCGTCTCAGCACCAGGAGCTCGGTGATGAGAGGTGGCAGCGCAGGTGATGAGAGGGTCGTTGTTTGGGGCCTGGGGAACTGATCAAAACCAGTACAGAGTTTTGACCCATGGCCATATTGATAGTGCAGAATAGAATAGAAACACTGAACACATACAGTTGTATTGTTGGCTTCGAAAAGAGAAGAGTCCATTTTCTGATCTATCCAATGCCAACCTTCTCCCCTGGTAACCATCATCGGCTTTCATGCTTCCCGTGATGTGCAGCGTTTCGTCGTCCAGCTTCGCCGGTGAAGTTGCACCGTGCCGCAGGCAGTTCTCCAAGATTTGGACGGTGATGCCGTCTGCCCAGGACGTCGATGACCACGGCAGATCGCCTGTTGGACTTAGAGTCTTCCCAGACCTGGGGTCAAGTCACTTCATGAACGCCTGTATGTTTTTGGAGAAGAAATGGTGGTTCCTTGATCATTTCCACTTGTGGCGAAGGAGCACAATGACTTGTTTGTCATTCATTGGTGCCTTCCATACTTTCGGCTCTCACACGCGGTGGCTGAACCACCCAGTCAGTGAGGCCATTGCATGTCAGTTTCCTGGATAAGCCAGTCACTGTTCCCTGCCTTTCGACTTGCAGGACTTTGTCCCACCAAAGACCTTCGGTGTGGAATCTACTGCGACTTGTATCGCTGAGGCGATGGATGGATTCGCCATAGACTCGAGTGGTTCGTGTAAGTGAACTGCACGAGATGGTGAAACATTCGGCTTCTGGGGAAATAGTGATATTTATAGATTGAGAACCCCATGAACTGATGACAGACCCGCTTTCCCTCACTTCTTGATTATTTTTGAGACCTATGACCTGGGGGCTTCCTGTAAGCCAAACAGTGAATCGGAGTGGATGTGGCTGCAAGTGGTTCTAGTGGACGATTCTGGATTTTGGCAATTCTTGGATGTTCACCTCAGACAGTTCACTGAGAACATAGACGTGAGTATTATGAGTCAATCCTGTTGAATGAGTCAAAGGATATCAAAGGCTTTTGCATACTCACAGTTTCTTCATGTTTCTTCAATAATCTGTGCTTCACTAACTTTAGTGAAAAAAGATCCTAGTGAAAAACATCCCCCCAATTGCAGCTCCTACCTTCATTCAGAATCAGAAGACAACAA